AAAAAAAAAAAAAGGCGTTGAATATCTTTTGCCAGTACCCCTGACCAACCCACACACCGTTGTTAATATGACTCCAAGGATCATGGATCCCTTTCTGCAAAAGTCCATCCATAGACTCCACATTAGATGCCCTGATTTAAAATATTATTATGGTTCAATATAGTCATAGTAGTGAAGGAATTTTTGTTTGTTTGTTTGTTTGGAGATGGAGTTTCACTCTTATTGCCCAGACTGGAGTGCAATGGTGCGATCTTGGCTCACTGCACCCTCTGCCTCCCAGGTTCAAGTGATTTTCCTGCCTCAGCTTCCCAAGTAGCTGAGATTACTGGCACACGCCACCACGCCCAGCTAATTTTTGTATTTTTAGTAGAGACGGGGTTTCACCACGTTGGCCAATCTGGTCTCAAACTCCTGACCTCAAGTGATCTGCCCGTCTTGGCCTCCCAAAGTACTGGGATTACAGGCATGAGTCACCACACCCAGGTCCTAATTTTTATAGTTTTAGTAGAGACGGGGTTTTACCATGTTGACCAGTCTGGTCTTGAACTCCTGACCTCAGATGGTTTGTGCTCCTCGGTCTCCCAAAGTGTTGGAATTACAGGCATGAGCCACCGCACCCAGCCAGCAGTGAGGGAGTTTAAGTCTTGGTTTAAAAAACAATTATGATGCTAACACCCTTCAAATTAGATTTGATGAAAGTTTTATTTGTTATTCTTTGGTTATTTCAGGCTCGTGCTGTCTTGGAAAGAGAATTTAACAACCTTTTGGTCATGGGGACTGATAGAAGGTTTGATGAAGTAAGTTTTTGACCTAATGTTCTTTAAATGTCTATGAAACGTGTGTAAATGTTTAAATGTGTGTGAAATGTAAGCTGTTATTATTATACTCAGGACATCATGTAGCTAGGCAGTCTCTCTGGATGTTAGAAGTTAGGATTTGCTCTTATGAATTTATTAACAAATGAGCCTTTAAAAACTAATACCTGGGCCAGGCGCAGTGGCTCATGCGTGTAATCCCAGCACTTTGGGAGGCGGAGGCAGGGGTATCACCTGAGGTCAGGAGTTTAAGACCAGCCTGGCCAATATGGTGAAACCCCATCTCTACTAAAAAACACAAAAATTAGCCAGGCGTGGTGGTAGGTGCCTATAATCGCAGCTACTTGGGAAGCTGAGGCTGGAGAATCGCTTAAACCTGGGAGGTGGAGGTTGCAGTGAGCTGAGATTGCGCCACTGCACTCCAGCCTGGGCGACAGAGAGAAACTCCATCTCAAAAAGAAAAAAACACCCCCCCAAAAAAAACCACAAAAGTAATACCTTCAAGAAGGTAGTTTTGTTATTTTTGCTCTTTAATTTTTGACATCCCTCAAAAATGGTTTTCACATCATAAAACATTGGTTGCAGCTTAGGAATAGAGTCTGTAAGTTGGGTTTTAGGGACCACTAGGTATCCTACCCCAGTCCAGAGTATACCCCCCATAATCCTGTGCATTGGTGGGGTGGCGTGTTTCAGAAGTATATTAAAAACACAAAATGTTAATTTCCCCTTCAAACCATGACTCATTTGTTTCACACTATTAGGAGTCTCTTAACTGGACCTTAAGAAAACTTGAGTTTGACAGAGAGAATAGAAGGCCACCTCTAAAGATGAAGCACTCGTTGGCTATATCCTGGCATAAGATAGAATTGTTTATAGCTTAAAAATTGTTTGTAGAGCTGCACGTGGCAGGGGCACACCTGTAGTCCCAGCTACTTAGGAGGCTGCAGTGGGAGGATGGCTTGAGCCCAGGAGTTTGAGGTTACAGTGAGCTATAATCACACCACTGCATTCCAGCCTGGGCAACAGATCTAGACTCTGTCTGTAAAAAAATAAATAAAAATGAAAAATAAACTATTTTTAAGATAAATAAAAATTTATTATGTAGCAAGAAAGTGATTCCTGCAAGGTAAGAAGTAGAACACGATGCTGGGGAGAAGGAGCACATCTCCATGGCCCAGCACCGACCTCACTTCGCCAGCTGAGGCCCAGCTGGACCATCACCATGCCCCATTTCACGCTGAAGTTCCAGTTTGGGCAATACCTTGTGTGGTCATCAAGAAGGGATGAAATACACGTGAACAAGAATACGTACATTCTTGAATTCAGCAGTCATTTTAAAGGACATTTAACTTTACATCTCTGACGTTTATTTTTTAAAATGAATCTTGTTTTTTGTTGTTTAATTTACCAGGATGATGATAAAAGCTTTAGGAGAGCACCTTCATGGAGAAAAAAGTTTAGACCAAAGGACATTCGTGGCTTAGCTGCTGGGTCAGCAGAGACTCTCCCTGCAAACTTCCGGGTCACGTCTTCTATGTCTTCCCCCTCAATGCAGCCAAAGAAGATGCAGATGGACGGTAGGTGATGGGTCGTGCTAACCTGCCACTTGCTGGGAGCATGAGCAGCTTTTTGTCTGGAACATTAATAATGATCTAAAACGGCCCAGTTAATATGTTACAAGGCACTTGAGTATGGTTGCATGTCCAAATATAAATGTTTTTAAATTAACTCTTAACATTTGTTTATAAAAGTTTAACCATAATAATAGAATTTTTTAAACATTCTTGTCTGGTTGAATCTTAGCATATTTTTCCAACTAATAAAGCTCAGTATTCGTCTGTGTTCTCAGAGGGAGACTGAGGCATACTTGTAAATATGTGTCTGTGACAGGCCGTGCTAGAAAGCTCTTTCAGGAAATAGTAGTGTAGTAGTAGCTTCCAAACCACATGATTCACTGCTCTCCACACCAGAGAATATAACAGTATATTTTAAAGAACACACAGTTTACAGCTTGTGTGAGCTCTGCCTGTCCTTTCGGCCCTCCCTGCTGCTGCTGTTCTGTGCAGTCACGTGTCTACCCATTAGAGGGCAGGGAAGGGAGGACGGTGAACCTCCAAGAAGTCCCCAGTGGATCGAGGCAGCCATGAATATACCAGCCAGAGAGAGGGCATCACTGCCATGATTTCAAGCACAGTTTGGGATTTTCCCTTTGACAGCCACTTTGATTTGAGGTTAACAGTTGACCATGGCTTCCTGACAGGTCTCTCAGCTCTGATCTTGTACTCATCTAATGAAAGGCAGTGCACAGGTTGAAGAGCCAGGCTGCCTAGGTTTGACTCCAGCTCTGCCGCTAGGAGGTGCATGACCCTGAGCAAGTCATTTAACTAAACTGTGCCTCGGTTTCCCCATCTGTAAAATGGTCATCACGGTAGTGTCTTCCTCATAGAGTAGTTGTGATGATTAAATGCATCATTCATAAAGCTGGTGAAGTTCTGAGCCCATGTCAGTGGGGGCCGTATGGCAGCCCCTGTGCTACACACAGGTGTCACTCATGCTCAGTTCTGAGGCCAGTGAGCAGACTGAAGAAAAGGAAGTGGCATTAAAAACTGTGCCACTCCTTGAGGCCAGGAGTTCAAGACCTGTCTGGCCAACATGGCAAAACCCCGTCTCTGCAAAAAAAAGTACAAAAATTAACCAGGTGTGGTGGCACACGCTTGTAATCCCAGCTACTTGGGAGGCTGAGGCATGAGAATCATTTGGAGTTGAGAGGCAGAGGGTGCAGTGAGCTGAGATTGTGCCATTGGACTCCAGCCTTGATGACAGACTGAGACCCTGTCTCAAAAAAAAAAAAAAAAAATTTTTTTTTTTAAGTGCTAATTAGGGGCCAGGTATGATGGCTTATGCCAGTAATCCTAGCACTTTGGGAGGCTGAGAGGCAGGAGGATCACTTGAGCTCAAGTTTGAGACTAGCCTGGGCAACACAGTGAGACCCCATCTCTACAAATAATAATAATAATAATAATAATAATAATAATAAATAATAATTGAAAACTGTGCTAATGGGGTTTTTGCAAATTTTTTTTTGTCATCAGCCCCTCCCATAAGTAAGTTCATAAATTTTGTTCTCTATCACCTGTATAAAAATCAAAAGAAAAGTACATTTATATAAAACCTTAGTTAAGCTGGACACTTTGGGTGAGAATAGCTTACTCTGTGGCATTTTTAGTAAAAGGCTGTATTATTTATGTATTGTTTGCCAGAGTTTGATAATATACTTAAGGGGGAAAACTCAGTATATCTTTTAACTAGGAACTTTTTTAAAATTAGCATTTTTCCTCCAAGAGTCATACAGATAATTCTTAGAAAATGTAACTGTAACTTGGCCTTCAGCTCAAGCGCTGTCACCTGCAGAGTCCACATGAGTGCTTGCTTGTTTCCTTGTGGCTTCCATTTCAGTTTTCCTTCTGACACATCACATTTCCCTTGTTAAATGTTAACAGGAATATTAAGAATGAGAGTTTGGATGGATCAAAAGTAAACCTAGGCCCGGCGCGGTGGCTCACGCCTGTAATCCCAGCACTTTGGGAGGCCGAGGTGGGTGGATCACCTGAGGTCAGGAGTTGGAAACCAGCCTGGCTAACATGGTGAAACCCTGTGTCTAGTAAAAGTACAAAAAATTTTGCCAGGCATGGTGACACGTGCCAATAATCCCAGCTACCTGGGAGGCTGAGGCAGGAGAATGACTTGAACCTGGGAGGCGGAGGTTGCAGTGGGCTGAAATCATGCCACTGAACTCCAGCCTGGGCGACGAGCAAAACTGCCTCAAAAAAAAAAAAAAAAGTAAACCTAAAAGCTATAGAGAATTTATTATAAAGAAGACTTTTTACCCTTACATAAATAACTCAGGCACAAGCCTGCTAAAGGGATTATTATTATTATTATTGAGACACGTTCTCACTCTGTTGCCCAGGTTGGAGTGCAGTGGCTCAGTCTCGGCTTACTGCAACCTCAGCCTCCCAAGAAGCTGGGACCACAGGTGCGCACCACCACACCTGGCAAGTTTTTTTAACTTTTTGTAGAGGTGGGGTCTCACCATGTTGCCCAGGCTGGTCTTAAACTCTTGGGCTCAAGCAATCCTCCTGCCTTGACCTCCCAAATTGCTGGAATTACAGGCGCGAGCCACTGTGCCAAGCAAAATTGATTATTTTAATGGCTTTTTAATTAAGGGAATGTGGGGTAAACTCCAGCAGGTCTCCCAGGCTCTTAGAGTCAGAGGGTTTGGGAAGATCATCTGTCCTGCCCAATAGTCCCAACTGTCTTAACATCTTTGCTGGAACCATGCAGGATGTTGATAAGAGTTCCTGGTATACCTGTGGGAAAACAAAAAACATATAACCGGGAGCAGCCAGTACCTGTTTCTGATTTGTAAGAACTTTTTTTTTTTTTTTTTTTTTTTTTGAGACAGAGTCTCGCTCTGTTGCCCAGGCTGGAGTGCAGTGGCCGGATCTCAGCTCACTACAAGCTCTGACTCCCGGGTTTACGCCATTCTCCTGCCTCAGCCTCCAGAGTAGCTGGGACTACAGGCGCCCGCCACCTCGCCCGGCTAGTTTTTTGTATTTTTTAGTAGAGATGGGGTTTCACCATATTAGCCAGGATGGTCTCGATCTCCTGACCTCGTGATCCACCCGTCTCGGCCTCCCAAAGTGCTGGGATTACAGGCTTGAGCCACCGCGCCCGGCCTGATTTGTAAGAACTTAAACTCCAGGTTGTTAATGGAAATCAGGCTTACTTCTGGCCACACAGTGTGTTTCTTGAACAAGAACGAAAATCTGTGGTCTCTATGATTAATATTTCTAGTAGGAACCGAGACTGGGCTTCAGTTTTTAGATCAGCCCTCACCCCACTCCCTGGCCAACGCCCCACCCCTGCAGCCAGATCTCTGCACCTGCTCTGCTCCTCCCCAGGAGAAAAGGGCATGGCTTCCCAGACACCGCAGCTAGTGCTGGTCTGCGAGGTCTCTCCCCTCCTCTGAGGCTGGCCTTGTACCCTAGTAGGAACCGAGACTGGCTTCAGTTTAGGATCAGCCTCTACTCCCCACTCCCTGGACAACGCCCCCACCCCCTGCAGCCAGATCTCTGCACCTGCCTCTGCTCCTCCCCAGGAGTAGTGCGGGCATGGCTTCCCAGACACCGCAGCTAGTGCTGGTCCATGAGGTCTCTCCTCCTGAGGCTGGCCTTGTACCCAGTGTCGCCGGCCTCTGTGCTCAGTGGGGCTGGTCTGGGCGCAGGTCTCTCCTCCTCTGAGGCTTTTCGCTGGCCTTGTACCCAGTGTCGCCGGCCTCTGTGCTCAGTGGGCTGGTCTCAGGCCCTCCCTCCCTCTGAGGCTGGCCTTGTACCCAGTGTCGCCGGCCTCTGTGCTCAGCGGGGCCGGGCGGCATCAGCGGGGCCGCGTGGTGGTTCCTTCATACCAGTGTCAGAGATGGAAGCAGCCCCATGGGTCTATGAATGCAGAGTTTAGTAACAGGCAAAGGGATCGCTCTAAGTAGGGTCATTTATGCAGATGCACATTTTGAAATTGTTACTATACCATTTGGTGCTTGGTATTTCGGAGTAGTGTTCCAGAGTCTCCTGGGGCTCCTTGGGAGCTGGGGAGAGCCACCACTGGGTGACACTTGGATCTCTCTCTCTGGCTCCATCCCGCCCACTCAGGCAGCTCCCCTCAGGTCCCTCCGTAGGCGCTGCTGTAGTTGTGAAGATGTGTGTCTACTTGTGCCCTCATGTGATGTTCTAAGACTAACTGCACGCTGTGTTTGCACGCTTCCTCTCGTGGCTGTTGAAACAGGCAATGTATCAGGAACACAGAGGTTGGATTCTGCTACAGTCAGGACTTACTCCTGCTAAAGTCTCCTGTTGGTGAGTAGAGAGCACCACAACCCCTGGAGGTGGCTCAGAGGCACAGCAGGAGTCATCGGAGCTGCAGTGCCAGACTAGGGGTGTGGACCATGAAGGCCAATGCAGTTTTTGGGGAATTTAAAATATATAGAGACACAAGCTCTCCGTACCCATTAAGATAATGTTGTTGTTACAATTGATCATAAAGAGGTTAGTGTGCCCTCTTTTTTTTAAGGGGAAAAAAAACGTATTTTCACCTTTTCCTTAAACCTGAAAATGCTGACTCATTTTAATTGTCTGTGGATGTCATGCGGGTGCAGTGGGGAGAAGAGCAGAGCATGGCAGAGAGCGTCAGGCGAGTCTCTCACCCTGACGTCGTTATGCACATGGCCTTGATTCCTAAGCTTGCTTCGTTTTAAATACACATTCTTGAATGAAACAAGCCCAAAGTTTTGTGGTTAATTACATACTGTATTAAGTGTGACACTAATAGCCTGTCAGTTTGGAGAGACTGGTTCTTAAAACTACGGACTCTGGCTGGTGAGTGGCCCGCCCTCTCCTTGCTGTTCTAAGCAATTTTAAGGTCTCCGTTGGCATATTTGACTGGTTTGTTCATCTTTTATTTGTAATTGGTAACTTGTAGACGTAAGCCAAAATGAAGTCAGCCAAGGAACTGTCTCATTGATGTGCATAGCCCTTGATGTTCTAGCCAGTGATTCTCAGAGCAGCTACGGCACAGAAAGTGACGGTCCTGGAGGGGAGGGGCCAGGGTTGGGACGTTTGGGCCTCAGTGTCAGAAGCTCCCTTTGGTCAGCACGGCCCAGCCTGCACTGAGTGGCTTTTTGTTTGTGTTTATTTTCCAGTTTACCCACACTACTTCTACCGATGATTACGCAGCATTTGAATCCAACAAAGACTACATTTTAGAATCCAATGGAATCTTTAATCTGTTAATACTTGTTATATGGACCCTAAGATATTTTATTACAGAGTTTTTAATTAGTGAAAAATTCATGAATACCATAGAGAAAATATTTTAGAATTTAATGTTTCTTATATTTATGTAAACTTATGACTCTTCATTTATATAGTTACTTACTTTTTCATGTATATCCAGGCTATAAATATCCTTTCAAATCATGTTCTTATACCTAATTTTAGTCTTTCAAATGAATGTACTGTAATGCTTGTATGTATAAATCCTATGAACAAATAGAGGGCTTTTGTAAATTATGCATTTATTGTAATTATCATTAATTTTTTAATGATAAACCATGAAGAGGATTTTACTACATTTATAAAATTAGGACAGAAGCAATGTGCATTATCCTTTACAGATGCAGCCTAGCTCTACAGCAATCATTCTGAAATAAGCATACCTAATTTCAAGCAATTGTATTTTAATGACTGACCTTAACTATACTTTTTCTAGTAAGAAATGCTTTATTCTGCAGCATGAACAGATTTAAAATAGCTGGTGTTAAATATCAGCTCCTAATAAAATGTGGACTGAAAAGACTATCACAACACTATGAGAAGCCCCTAGCACTGGTTAACGCTTTCCTAGCCTAGTCTCTGGATTTGGGGAGCTTGTCTTCAGTGGCTGACAGAGATGGTGAGCTGGGAGCAGTTCTCTCAGCTGGAGAGACTCGGGATGGGGTAACCTGGGGACCAGCCCAGCCCCTGCGCCCTCTTCCCTGCCTCTGCTCCTTGGGAGTGGGTGGAGAGACACCCATGTAGCTCCCCTAGGGCCAGCCACCAAGCACACGCGCTCACTCCGCAAGTCGGCGCACACAGCGGATGAAGGCAGGAGACCCAGAAAGCAGTGCAGTGCAGCTCTAATAAAGGCCTTATTTTTCTTATGTAAATCATCTTTTTACATTTGTTTGTAAACATGTTTAAAGAATGAACCTAGTGGGACATTTTTAGACCTCGATGTTATAGCCATTTTGGATGGTGTAAGTTGCAGATGTGGCTTTGACTTTTTCAGTGGCATATTAAAAAGCCAGCAGAGCGTGGCAGCCCATGGCCTGGTATTTCCTGTGCAGCAGATACAGAGGTGGCGGCAGCCTATCTTTTCACAGTTGGTTTCTGCTTTTAATTTACTTGTACAATTCATTGTTACTGTTCCGTTTTTCTATTAATCTTTTGTGAACTTCCTGATTATGTAACAAAGTATGTACAGTCTACTTTTGAACTATTTTTATCACAGTATTATTTATTGCTTTCTTTCAATAAAGTACTGAAGTATTTTCCACTGCCAATGAAGAATACTGAGAATAAGCTCTAATTGCATTGAAATTGACCATAGCTGTTTTGGAAGGCAGTGTCACCATGTGGCAATTGTATTATAGAAGTCAACTGACAGAATAAAGCAGCCAGGAGATGAAGTGCAGGTTCAGGGCATCATCCTGCCCGCTTCTCTGGAGGTCCCCAGCCTGCATTACCGCAGGAGACAGGTGCCTGGTGTTAAATGCAAATGTGGGGGCTCACATACACAGTCGGTGGGTAGGGCTCAAAGGCAGAGCCTAGGCCATGGACCGCGCGCATGCACGCGTGTCCCTTAACGCCGTTTCCCAGCTCCACTTCCTTCCTCAGTGCTGGCTTCACACTCCCATCTGCTCTCCCTGCCTGCTCACGAGGTGGCTCCCAGGCCCGCACCCTTCACACTGACGGCCTCTGGAAATCAGGAAGCCTGGGTCCCTAATAGCTCACATCCAGTCCTGAGTCGTGAAGCAGCCCAGCATGGCAGAGGGGAGACGACACGCTGACGGGCTGGGGGAGGAAAGCAGGTCCCACCCGTGGAAGTGGGGGAGCTCAGTCCCCTCAGGCTGCAAGGCTGCAAGCTGATGCCCAAGAGGAAAGCCAGACACCAGCAAGTGGCCCTTCTCCTCGTCCCACCTCAGTGTGGCCACCGAGCCCAGGATTCGCAGAGCCCACGGCCAGTACCACCCCTCCTGGAGCAGGCATCAGCGGCCACCTCCGACGTCACCGGGGTCTCTGTTTCCTCATTCTGTCTACACGGCTGACACCTCTGAGGGGCACGTGCTGTCACATGGGTCGGTGTCCTGGGACGTTTCTCCTGGGCAGCCATCAGGGGTGTTCTGTGCTTTCCTGTTTAGAACCTGTGTTTGCTGATCTTCCCACTTAACGTAGGGAAAGCCTTGTTTTCTGTACTTCCTCGTTCTTGAGGTTAACCAAAGTGTGAGATTTAAAACATAACGTAGTGCCTCCCTGCTGTTTTTCATCTAATAGTCCTTTTTGGCTGAACAAAGCCAAAGGCATGCCTCAAGTATCTTAAAACTTCCAGAAAAAAGGAGACTGGGCCGGGCGTGGTGGCTCACGTCTGTAATCCAGCACTTTGGGAGGCCGAGGCGGGCGGATCATGAGGTCAAGTGATCGAAACCATCCTGGCCAACATGGTGAAACCCCGTCTCTATTAAAAATACAAAAATTAGCTGGGCATGGTGGTGCACACC